AACTTCTGGTTTCAATTTTATATTTATTTTAAGAATTTTGTCTATTAAAATGAAAACTGGTATTTCTTTCTTTCTTTCTTTCTTTCTTTCTTTATTAGACTTATATACCGCTTCATAGGGCTTTCAGCCCTCTCTAAGCGGTTTACAGAGTCAGCATATCGCCCCCAACAACAATCCGGGTCCTCATTTTACCCACCTCGGAAGGACGGAAGACTGAGTCAACCTTGAGCCGGTGAGATTTGAACCGCTGAACTGCAGATCACAGTCAGCTAAAGTGGCCTGCAGTACTGCACCCTAACCACTGCGCCACCACGGCTCTTAAGATCATCTTAAATCTTTATTAACTTCATGTTCAGAAATAGTTTTTTTTTCAGTAAAGGGAATTTCCAAGTTGATCAAGAAAATTCCAGCATCCTTAAGAATTCCATATGGGATTAAAGAGAAATGGAAAGGAAGCAGCTGGCTTTGATATTAGAGAATAAAATACATTGTCCATAAAATGCTTATACTCCTCTCTTATGTTTATTGTTTCTGTGCTTCTGCTTTGCTTTCTGCCTGCCTCTTAAAAAGAACTAATTGTGCTAGGGATCCACTACTTTTTGGAACAAAAACAGTAAATGTTGATCCAGTGTATTCTGTACAGCTATAAAAGGACACTTTGGGGTGTGGTTTGTTCAACCAGAATCTCTTAATCTATTAATAGAACCTCAGTGGAGCCCATATCAGAATGTGCATCAGTCACAGTGCTTCAGAATTACTGAAAAGTTCATACTAAAGCACGTGTGTCAAACTCGCATCATATTGGCATCACATGACGTTTCACGATGTTTTTCCCATTCGCAGAGCTGGGGTGGGCGTGGCCTGACCGTGATGCATCTGGCCCACAGCCCGCTAGTTTGATACACCTGTACTAAACCATTCACACTCTTTTTCTCACTACTGTAGTTTTATGCTTGCATTGTTTGCATTCAGAAAGTTGTCTGTAAATAAATATATTTGTGGGAAAAGGCAAATGAAAGGAAAACAGATAAGTTTATTTTTATAAATATAAGTCCGATAAGTTTATTTTTTTTAATTTAGTTATATCCTGCCTTTATTATTTTTATAAATCTCATGGTTACAAATATACATAATACTCTTTCCTCCTCCTACTCCTCCTACTCCTCCTCTCCTTACCTAAAGGGTGGATTGGGCGGAGAGGGAGAGTGACTGGCCCAAGGTAACACAGCTGACTTTCATGCCTAAGGCCAGACTAGAACTCAAGTCTCCTGGTCTCCAGTTTAGTGCTTTAACTACTAGACCAGCTGGCTATCAAAGTTGATGCCATCACACTTGAAAGATGAGCAATTTTCTTCATGGTTCTAGTGAAGTCAGTCATCAAACCTTTTGCAAATCACCTTTTTTTAGAATGAAATTCATTGTCGGTCAATGGAAAAACTAATACACAACTCTCATGAAAATTGCCCTTTGCATATGCAGTAGTTTTATCCTTTTTGAAAACAAAAGATATCCCCCCCCCTCTTTTTTTTTCCTCTTTAGATCGAGCTGGAAGCATTAGCACACTCGATTCCTTGGATTTTGCAAGATATTCAGATGATGGAAATAGGGAAACTGACGAGCGAGTAGCTGGTGAGTAAAATTTCAGATAAGATGGCAAGTGGGCTTTGCACAAATCATGCTCCCTGTTGAATTTTTTGTTGGTATCAATGTTTGTAAACCACACACTGTCTAATATGACGTTGTAAATTTCATTTACAGAGTATTGTCTAGAAACAAGTTATTGAATGGATGGTTAACGTTGTTAACATCTCATCTTTGTTTCTTCACATTAAAATAGAGTTCACTATATAAATTATTTTCTGGCATGGTTTTTCCATTTACTGTACTTGTCACAAGTCAGTGGTAGTACAAGTGTTCCCAAGAACCTCAAGTTCTTTTAAATAATACAACTTTTTCAATTTACTTTACTTTTTTGCAAATAGATTCTTATTCATTAGGAAAGCTTCATAAAAATGTACTGACAGGAATTAAATTCTTTGTGGTAAGAAATCACTTATCTGGTACAAATATGAGCAACTCTTAATACAACAGTAAAAAGCAAAACAATATGATACAGTACTTTTTTNCTGATAAAGTTCTTTCCTTTTAAGTCTGTCTGCCTGTCGTCTTTGAACGAGCGGAGAAGGGGGGACAGAACACAACAGCTCTCAAAAAAGTGACTTATGATCATTTTTCACACTTGCTACCATTGCAGCCTCCCCATGGTCACATGATTAAAATCCAGACACTTGGCAACTGACTCATTTATGATGGTTGCAGTGTCCTGGGGGGTCATTTGAGCACCTTTTGTAACCTTCTGACAAGCAAAGTCAATGCAGAAGGCACATTCATTTAACAACCATGTGACTAGCTTAACAACTGCAGTTCATTTCAACAACTGTGGCAAGAAAGTTTGTACAATGAGGCAAAACTCACTTAACAAATGTCTCACTTTTTAACCAAAACTTTGGACTCAATTGTGATGATAAATTGACTATGAGCATATTGCCAAAGAACCCTGCAGCTCTCTGCCTTGGGCGTTATCTGTATATAGAACATATCCTTACAGTAAAAGACACCAGAATTTCTGGCTGATCTTTTCCTGTTGTTTAGCCTGTCCTGTCCTTCATTAGATATCTTTGATTTCATGTGGACATCGACAACAGCAAAAGTTTATATGTAAGCTCACCCAATTGCTCCCCTGCTTGTCCACCAGATTTTTAGTAAAATTTGATAAAAGCCTTTTGATAAATGTTATCGCTAGTTTTTTAGCTAAAATTACATTCGCAACATCTTTTTAACCCATGTATTGTAATGTTATTTGCTAAGACTATTAAGAAATAAAGTAACAAGAAAGATAAAGAAAATGAGGTTAGAAAAATTAGCCAAATTTTCTTGTTTCTCCTTCTGTAAAAGCTTGTGCTTAACTGGACAATGGTTCATTAAATTAACATGATTGTGTTTACATAACATATTAACTACCCCATATATTTAACAACATGGAGTAAACTATGTTGGCTGATTTGGAGAACCAGAATGTTATGTTTATATACCCTATTTGTTGTTTCTCATTTTGTTGCTTCCCTGTTTTATCTTCACTGATGATTGTGTAAATGGTTTTCACTATTGGTAATAAGTAACTGATCTTGTTAATGGTTCACCACTAATTACAAGTGAAGGACTCAGAAAAGGTATTTTGGAATGGAAAACCCCAAAACTTTCTTCTTTGAAGAAAAAAAATCATTTATCATCTTAATAAAATAGAGTGTATTTATATTCATTAGACATGCTTCATATTTTCCTTTCACTGTAAATGAGGAAATGATTGCAGCTCATAAAACAAGTGAAATAGAAACCAGAGGACTTGATGTAATTACTCCAAGAGCTGGAGCAGTTTATCCTATGTCATTTGCTTGTCAATGAAATAGTACTTCAAAACTCTGATTAGGCAAAACTGTAAACATGTTGGCACTTAAATGACTTTAATCTTGAACCAAAATAATGCCAGATGCAAATACTTCTTAGCTTTTAGCAAAGTACATCAAGGGTTTAATGTTAAGTTAGCATAACTAAAATTTAATTAATAGGTAATTAAAAAATTTAACTACTTTTCTGTATTCTTTAATTCTTACACTCAAAGAGCTATAAAAAGGCTGATATTACAGGCCATTTCTTGTATAATTTAAAGACAGGTCTTTATTAAACACATTACAAGATACCCTGTTTCCCCCAAAATAAGACCTCTCCGGATAATAAGCCCAATCGGGCTTTTGAGCGCATGTGCTAAAATAAGCCCTCCCCCCGAAAATAAGCCCTCCCTGAAAATATTGCAACATAGCAGCAACCATGAGGTGACCACGCTCGCTGCCTCCTGCAACCTCATAAATAATAAGATCTCCCCAAAAATAAGGCCAAGTGCTTATTTTGGGAGGTGAAAAGAAAATAAGGCCCTATCTTATTTTTGAAGAAACACAGTAGTTCAAGAGTGATTTTAGACAAATATTCAACTGCCACGCCCATATAAGACTCATTGTTTTTGGTTGTTACTACGTAGTCATACTACTACATCTACAACTAATTTTTAATTTTATAATAACCTTGCGTCTGTACTGCAACATTATATAAGTGAGGGAAAGCATTTTACTGAATAATAGTTCTGTTCTGTGTAACCAGAAAGAAGAGAGACTTTAAAGTAGAAGAGTCTGCAGTGCTGAAATTCTGTCCAAGTGTTTGGCCATTAAGGAATTCACCTCTTTCCTTATACATTAACCTTTACACAAACATTTAAGCTTGCAGATTTTTTTCCAAGTCACTTATCATAAGTCACATGTAAATCAGCCTCTGGTGAGCAGTAATTAACCCAGCTGACAAAACGTTATTCATCTTGTGATGACAGAGGTAAATAATTGTCATAGCACAAGACTAGCAGTTAATAGAGTACTGTATTCCTTCTACTGGGGGTGGGGGGAGCGGTACAAGTATTGCAACTGCCGTCTGATGTGGGGGACTAGTAGAATACTTGTGTGTTCATTCTTAAGAAAATATCAGCCTACAAACACTTTCATTCTCTGCACACACAGAAGAGAAACATAGTATAACCTGAAATGTCATCCTTCAGAATTTTGATTGAATTAATTCCTAACAGTGTAAGTTAGGATGTTACCCAAGTTCATCTTCTTATAGAATGTATACCTGAGGTCACCTCAGAAAGTTTTAAGACCACTGGAATAAAATAAAACCTTATGGGCAAAAAAGGGGGAGAGAAACCTTTCTAGAATTACATTGATATTATGCTGGATATTTTGAGCTATGAATTTAGCATGTACCATGTGGAATTAGCATGTACCATGTGGAACCTGGTATAATGGAAGTAATCTCCCAATTTTGGAAGCTGTAAATTCATTCAGTAACAATGTTTATTGATAGGCCAGCAACAGTTTAAAGAGCTTTTTGCACAATCCAATATTTTGATTGATTATCTTAAATAAAATGTTCCATTGGGCAATTGCCTAGAGCACTCGTATCTGAACTATATTTAACATGTAGCATGTAACATGTTCGCACATCATCCATGTCTATTACATCTGCTATTGTGTAGAAGTCTGAACAGATAAGTTGTTTGAGTACACAGTTAATATAGAGATTAAAAATAGAGGGGCAAAAATGCTAGCCACAGTTCATGTTAAAAGGCTTTAAAAGTGTTTTGGATCACACATCAATGTACACATGCTAATTACTTGCAATTCCTAAACCCTAAATACACTTTACCTAGGATCTTGTGAAATTATAATAAAGATTAGGTCAACACTTCCTTATATGTTTAGCAACACACCTTTTTGACTCTTAATTCAAAATACTGCACTACCATATAAAATATATTCATTTTTCCATTATTGGGTTTGGAATAGAGGTAAAAAAACTACCCACTAATTCGATATCTTACTCTGAAAGGAATGTTGTTATGACAGAAACTGTTAATCAGTGGTAATAGACAATGGTCCATTGCAGAGTCTTTTAGAGTTTTGGCCTCTAGATTAAATCAAAGCTTTACAATCAGAAACTGCCACCTAAGTGGGATGCTGCTTAATTTTTAATTATATGTATGTTGGGGATTCTACAGTGGATCTCCCTTCTCAAATCCTCTCTGTTGTTCAGCAATTAGTTTTTTTTTTCCAATCCATTCGTGTAATTTCTAGAACAGATTTTTTTATATACTTTGGGGGCAGAGGTGGGTTGTAGGCCTGGGTTGCAGACCCAGCAGGAACCCACGTCTGCCATGCACCTGAACCGGTTCCCTCGCTGCCGCTGGGCATTTTAGTGACTACACGTGGACAAACCCGGTTTGCTCGTAAGGTTGTCTTTTGTCCTCCGGAGCCTTCCGGGAAGCCTGCGGAAGGCCCCTAAAGGCTCTGGAAGGCTAAAAACGGTCCTACAAGCAAACCGGAAGTCTGTTTCTGAACTTTCAGTTTGCCCGTAGGGCTGGGAGGTTGTTTTAGCCCTTCCCAGGCTCCTATAAAGCCTCTGGAGCCTGGGGAGGGCGAAAAAAGCATGCAGAAATGGGGGGAGCGCTGGTCATGCGCGCATGCGCGCTGGGGTCATGCATTGTGTGATGGGTGTGGCATGTCTGTGTGTGACCCCCTTTTGGCACGTGAGCCAAAAAAAGGTTCGCCATCACTGTCGTAGGAGGGCAGTTCAGCTCACATAGTACAGTTGTATCAAATTTATTTTCTCCTTTGAGCTGCTTTCTTAATTGCTGTCAAATTGTATTGCTGGAAAGAAGTTCTTCCAGTTATTTTCCTGAGTTTTTGTTGCTGCTACTTTTTTCTTTTATAAATTGTTGCATTATACCAATTTTATTGTAAAATTTGTTTCTCAAGTAGAATTGTACCTACTGTCATATTTCTTAAGAATTGCCATTAAGAAGGGATATTCAGGTTAGCATCTAATTTTGAGTAGTGCTGCACTTTAACACTTGTGATAAATTTTGCATCTTTGCATAATATGTAGTTGATCTCTGCTTTCATTTCCAAGTTAGGGGCGTGTCAGGTCCAGTATTTCCCTAATAGTTTCTCAAAGTACTGTAGGTGTTC